TTTGTTTTTGAAAGTTACGTTCTAAATGTCTTTTAAACGTTTTTTAAACGTCTTCTAAATGTTCTTTACGTAAGAATGTTTAGAAGACGTTTAAAAGACATTTAAAATACATTAAGAACGTAACTTTTAAGAACAAATGCCTGAAGGGTATATTTATTATTTAAGCATATTATGTATATATACATATATTTAAGCACATTATGTATATATATACATATATTTAAGCATAATATGTATATATTATACATTATGCATATATTTAGGCATACATTGTCAAACTATATAAATTTTGATGTTTTGTTATTTGTGTACCACTAGAGGTGAGGTTTCTTTTTTAAAAAAGAAACTATTACGAGATAATGTTCTTTGTCGCAATTTTCTTGCGTTAAACTGCAAGTAACATTTATTAAATATTAAAAATAGTAAGTTTTTTAAACAATTTGGCTGAGCGAGAAGTTTTTAAAAGTATTTGATTCAGCAATAAGCAAGCTATTCATTTGTGCAATTCACTAACGGAATTCATTGCATTCATTATTTATTTTCAAGTTTTGAAACTATAACACCGTAGTAACAAAATAGTATGTAAAAATAGAAATAATGATAAAAAGAATGTTCAGTATTAGATTATGCTTAAAAATATTTTGTTAAAAAACCTTTTTGTCTATGGATCCTGCTCTTTGGAATGAAAAATATCAAGAGACGAATACTAGATCACCGGTTGAACTCTTAGAAAATGTTGAAAATAAAAATTCATATTTTGAGAATGTTATGAAAAAAACCGATCACGATGAAGAAAAAGTTGAATCTCTGAAAGGAATCAGTGACGAAGAAGAGTCAATTAATGAAATAGACGATGGGTATATTAGAGTGCCACCATGCATGTTAGGCAGACCATTAAAAGATTTTGATTGCGAGAATGATAATGTAAGTTAAAAGCGTTTTCTAGTTAAAAGTTGTTATTTTTTTTAATCTTCTAAGGAAGAAAATTGACAAATGATTATTTGTAGGATAATTTTATTTTTTGTAAGGTATAATTTAGGTATAATTTTTATTTTTTTAATTTTTAGTAAGGTATAATTTTTAACCTCAGAAGGTTAAAAATTGTATCTTACTAAAAGTATACCACATGTCATACCATACGGTAGAATCTTCTGTCTTTTTTTGTTTTAAGTGTAGAGTAATAAAATTTCCATCTTAATCAATGACGTTTTACGAAAAGAGCGCGGTTTAGTACCGGGGATCTTTTAGACCTTGAGTTTAGCTCTCTAACTATTATTTTTGATGCGTCACACTTTTTACGTGACGTATCAAGAATTAAATTTTGAAAAATTGAAACATAAATGTGCAATTTCTCCAATTTCTATAACACACCGTTGGCGATAATAAAATTGCAAATTTATACTTCTACGGTATTTTAACATTTTTTAATATATTATACATAGCATATTATGTAACAATTTAGGCCTTATTTAGTTATTTTTTTTACCCAGTGAATAAATAAATATAAAAATGACAACAAAAAAAAAGTTTTGATGTAGGTATATAATATATACCTCAACATTTCAACTTTCAAAAAGATTAAAATAAACTTTTTACTTGTAACAATTTAGGCCTTATTTATTTATTTTTTTGTCATTTTTATATTTATTTATTCACTGGGTAAAAAAAATAACTAAATAAGGCCTAAATTGTTACAAGTAAAAAGTTTATTTTAATCTTTTTAAAAAATGAAATGTTTATCAGCTCTTATGAAAATGTTTTTAGCTAAAGCAAATTTTTGAACTATTTAAAAAAAAGTTTTATAATTTGTAAAAGATTGTTTTTCGGAAAAAAATATATTTAATTCAAAAAATCTACATTTTTATATATTATATATAAAAATGTAGATTTTTTGTAGAATATATTATATATTAAAATGAACATTATATATTTTCTTCCTAAAACAATCTTTTACAAATTATAAAACTTTTTTTTAATTTGTTCAAAAATTTGGTTTAGCTAAAAACATTTTTATTAAGAGCTGATAAACATTTCAACTTTTGAAAAGATTAAAATAAACTTTTTTTTCATTTCCGTTTGTCGTCTTTTTTCAGTTCAATAAAATTTTTCATTATTTTCTAATGTTATACGCGTTCTTTTCTATAATCAAATAGATTGTACCTTAATTAGTCATCTAAGTCCACCGGCAGAGAACGGTCTAATAGCTACAATCGACTGCTACACTCGTAGCAGCAATTAAGTAAGTTTTCGATATTCAAAGCGTTTGTTTTTCTTGGTAGCAATTCGTCGCTTCGATATATTTATAACTGCGTAAGCTGGAATTTTTATCTCAAAAAAAAAAAAAAAAAAATATTGCTACCTTTCTATCCAAACTTTATTTGCAATGTATAACAAACCCTAACGTACTCTTGAATCGAAGTATAACGAGTGGGTTTTAAATAATAAAAACAACATAAAAAGTGTAGAGAAAAAGAATTTTCATCGTTATTTTTTCACAAAATTACCAAAAGAAATTATAATAACAAAAAAAGTGAAACTCATTTAAAAAAAAAAAAAAATACACTTTCTATTATCTACAAATGAAAAGTTTTTAAATCTAAAATTAAGAGATAATACTATGCGTCCTCAATGCTTGGGTCATGGTGAAACTATAGCTCATAAGATGTTTAAGTGTGAGAGATTACAGTAAATTTACAGAAGTAGATTTACAGCAGCCGTGGTTTAGTGGTTAGAGTTCTGGCTTCAGAACAGGAGGTTACTTGTTCGAAGATCTTCTCTGACCGTATATGCGTCATTGGTGAGAACGAAGGCGTGACTTTCTGGTTAAAATGCTATTCCGTGTTGATCTGTAGTAAGGCCTAGTGCTTCCAATACCGATACCATTTTTTAATACCGGTATATCGGTACTAAATAATTATAATACCGGTAATATCGGTATAATACCGGTATTAAACTTTATTTTTAAATTTATCTAAATAAAATCTCAAGTTAATAGTAAAAATTTTATTGATTCAATCAGCTTATTTATTTTATATCAAAACTACTGACTTTTTCATTTTTCGCTTTTTTCTGCTTTGTAAAATGAGCCCGTAAAAAACATAGGGCGTTCAGAACATCATCTTCAAAAGATCATCTAATTTTGTTGGCTTCACAGTTTTCAAGTAATGGTAGGAATTTTGCAAATATATACAACGATTTCCTCCTTCTTCAAAAATTCCTATTTCAATACATATAATTTTTGATGAATTATTCGAAACATTCAATTTTCCCTTGTTGTTACATTTCTTATTTTTCAAAATTGCAAAGTCAAGCTTTTTTTTCAATGACAAGTTTACAGCGTTGTCCACAGAATCACTATCGGAAAAAACGCTGGTGAAAGGGAGAGGACTATACCCTTTCTGATTGAGCCGATCTTTCAGTCGAGTTATGGTATTTACAATGGCTAATTTGCTATGGTGCTCAACAGATAGAGCTAGATCCAAATTCTTGTAACGTTGATGTCCCTTGTGCAAAAAATGTTGTATGCTGGAAAAAGAGTACGTTGCTCATTGAATTGTTGCACCAACATAACTTTACAGCTAAATCGATTTCTCAAAGGTTATCTATCATGAAAATGTTGTATGGGCACACAACAGAGTTGCATGATTTTGGCACAATGTTTCCACAGCCAGTTTTGCTGGCGCAAGACATAAGTTAACAACTAATATTGCATCGGACTCATTATTAGTTACCTCAACTTTGGACTCAAGGGCAAAAAGCGACTCGTGAATGCATTTTTTCAATTATACAAAACGTTCGAGTACTGTGTGCAAGCTAACCCAGCTAGTTTTGGATCCAAGTATTAGTGGAATATCTTTATCAAATTTTTCTAACGTGCGTTTTTGAATTTTGATCATTTTTGTCGGAGAACGGCGAAATAAAAATTTCACAACGGTGCGAACCTTTTTGATTAACGGCTGCAAATCATCAGTCAGTTCAATAGAGTCATTCTCTTCACTCATTACAACTTGAAACCCGCCGGAAAAGTCTTCATCATTATTGGTTATGTTTGTGTCATCAGTATTTCCTCGTCACTTTCTCTGTTATTGCATATTACTTTCAAGTTTTTTTTGCAGAAATTGACAATTTTTTTGTACAAAATATCTTGAATACCTATTTGAATCCCATGCCTAATGCACAACTGTTGATCACAGTTACTTAAACGCCCCACTTTCTACATTACCGAAACTTTTCATATTTACGTTAGTGCAAAATTCAAACATGCGTTCTACATTAAAGCGAGTGACGTAATGATAACATTTTTTTTTTTTTTTTTTTTTTTTTTTTTGTATGTATTTAGGTGCTCCCAGAAGTCCTTATGGTCTTATCGTAGAGCACCGCGGGAGAGCATTTAAACAGGAAGTTCACGCCTCCTTCCGTACCAATGTCGCTTGTTGGGCTAGAGCTGGCGTCGAACCTCGGACCTCTGGGTTCTGAGCCAGAACTCTAACCACTGCGCCACGGCTGCTTCTTTTAAATTTTAAATTTGTGCTTCATTATTTAATAAAAACACGAAAGTAAATGGAATACTTAAAACTTCCAGTCACGATCAAACAACGCTTCCGGCAAGAAAAAGATAGCTAGATGACAAAAGACGTGTTTAAATCATCTAAAACAAGTATTCTACGTATTTTATACGTCTTAAACGCTACCTGTCGCTGGCTAGTTGCTAGCTTATTTCTTACCAAACCTAGTGGGAAATGAGCTGGCAACTAGATATTAAGTATAAAGTACGTAGAATACTTGTTTTAGACAATTTAAACACGTCTTTTCTTATCTAGCTATCTTTTTCCTACCGGAAGCGTTGTTGAAAGTTTTAAGTATTTCATTTACTTTAGTGTTTCACGTAAAGAGGGCGATAGCACCTGCTATATCATAATTTTTAATACCGGTATTGAGCCAAACCAATACCGGTATTTCGGTACTTAAAAATGTCCGGTAATACCGGTATTCCGGTACCGGTACTACCGGTATTGGAAGCACTAGTAAGACCGTTACGACTTCTTGGAGCACCTAAATAACGAATAGAAAAAAAAAATTTTAAAAGTCATAATTTCGTACCGTAAACAAAATTTTTAAAGCACGTGTTTACATAAAATAATAAAAAGATTTTTAAGAAAAGTAGCCAAAACTTTATACATTTTTTATTTCTTTTAATGAATGTCAAATCAATTACAATATTATAAATACATATCAATTGTATCATTAATAATTGGTATGTTTTTATTTTAATTACGGTGTTTTACATTTTCTCATTTTATAAGAAAGTAAGAAAGTGTTTAGACGAAACACTTCCTTACTTTCTTATAAAATGAGAAAATGTAAAATATACCGCAAATCTGTACATAATGTAAATATTTGAAGTAAAGGGTTATTTGGAAATTATTATTTTTTTGCTTAAATTATTTGCTCTATAAATATTTTTTGGATTAGGAAGTTATGTTTGCAATATTTTCATTAAACTACTGTCTGTTGCCAAAATTAAATGGTTATTGAGTTTATATTTATCCGAATTGCGTTAAAAGTTGCGAGTAAAACAATCATGTTTTTTAATTAGAAATAAATACATGACAAACTTTATTTCTGAGCAATAAATAAAGAAACGGCAAGAATTTGAAGACCATTTAAATAAAATATATAATAATCCGACAGTTTCTTATTGCATTTAAAATATAGTAGAGCTTTTCATAAAATATTTTAAGATTCATACATAGTATCATACTATGCAACATAGGGGCTATTTGGAAAACATATTGGGGTTATTTGGAAATTTTTAAAAAGCTAAATACTGTCTTTTAATTGTGAAAGTAAAATTTATGATTTGTATTTTTGTGTGTGTGTGTGTGTGTGTGTGTGCGCATTTATATATATATATATATATATATATATATATATATATATATATATATATATATATATATATATATATATATTTAATTAGCATATAACAAATGGTAAGAGCATATAAAAGAAGCAATAGATGTGTCAGGAATGGAAAAGTTTACAAAGCATACAGCAGTTATAATAAAGAGGATCTTGAAAAGGCTGTTTATTTAATGCAAAGCAAAACACTTAATCTTTCTGAGGCTTCAAAGAATTATAAAATTCCAGTTTCCACTTTGAGTAGAAAGTATAAAATGAAAAATGGTCATAAAACTGCAGTTCGACCAAAGATGTTCAGTGATGAGGAGGAAAAAAGTTTTGTTTACAACCTAAAAATTACCAGTGAGTGGGGATTCCAGTTTTATTTATAAGATTTGAGAATTATGGCTCAACGGTATTTGAATAATACTAGAAGGAAAGTTTATTTTCTTAAAGATAACTTTCCAGGAAAAGAGTGGGCGAAAAGTTTTTTAAAACGTAACAGACATGTTTTACCAATTCGATATGCAACAGATAGAGCAAAGACTTCATTTAATATAATTGATAACTTCTTAAATAATCTTGAAAAAAATATGAAAAATGTTCAACCTGACTGCATCATCAACTATGACGAGACAAAGTTGAGTGATCCTGGAGCCAAAAAATATATATTTAAATGAACAGTTCTAAAACCTCAACAAGTTTAATGTTTTCTGAAACTGCTACTGGTACTATTTTACCCATTTATGTTGTTTCAGAACATTTGTAGGATACTTGGATGGAAGGTGGACCTGATAAAACTGTTTATAACCAAAGTAAAAGTGGATGGTTTGATACTTTTTGCTTTGAAGATTGGTTTTGTAAAATTATTATTTCATATATACGATACAAAGAAAGAAATAGAATTGTAATTGGTGACAACTTATCTTCACATTTCTCAGAAAATGTGCTATATGCCTGTGAAGAATATGAAATCATGTTTATGTCTTCCACCTAAAACCTCTCATCTGCTGCAACCATTAGATGTTGCTTTTTTTGCTCCCTTAAAGCATTATTGGAGGTTGATCCTTACTGAGTGGAAAAAACATGACAGAAGGAGACAGAAAACTTTACCAAAATCAGTTTTTCCTCATCTTTTGTCTTAATTAATGGAAAAAATGTCACAAGACAATATCTATTAAAAAAAAGACACGTTATTTATGGTTTCAAAAAGTGTGGCATATATCCATTGAATAAAGACCAAAATCACCAGAGTTAAAGCAAAATTAATCAGAATCAAAATTACCAGAGTTAAATGTTAAGAGCAAAACAATGAAACTCAACAACAATGTTTGTTTTTTGTATTTTATTTTTGTTGTTTATATGTTTATGTTTTGTGTTTTATTTTTGTTAGTTATAAATTTATTAAACCAATATAGTATAAGAAATGCTAAAAAATATGCAACATAATAATTGCAAAAAAACTTCTAAAAAAGTTCCCAGACATTAACGATGCTATGTATCACCAGGTGAAGGAATTTGTGCTCAAGATATCATGTTTCAAATAACTCCAGTTAGTCCAAAGAAAGTAAAAAAAAGTTCAAACTTTGTGTCAGAAAAAAATGTAGAAAATGTAATTGCTTCCTTCGATATTATAGGAGAGATGGCTGGTACTAGTAAAGAATTTTTTACGCCTCCAAATAAAAGGGCAAGATCATTATTCAATAGCATTTATAAAGGTATTGTTAGAAGCTCAGAAAAGCTAAAAAATTATAAAGAAGTTACAGTATATTGCATTGGTAAAACTGTTATTGTAAAAAATCATTTCCAAAATTCACACTCAATTGTTATCATAAAAGATGTAGAATGTAACATCTATTAGATCAATTTTTTTAAAGTTAACCTTTGTGGAAAAGGAATAAGATTTATTTTGCCAAATAAAGGGTACAGTAATTTTATAAGAAAATACATGATAATTAAACAAGCTCATCTTGTTGAAAGTGGGGATGGTTTATTTTATTTGTTTAAGAAAGAAGATGAAGAGTTTTTTAAAAAAGAAAAATATTTCAATTTTAGACTAAACTTCTTATCTATTAGAAAACATTCTTCTTATTAACTTCTTATAGACTAAAGTTTAATAAAGTTTTACTAAAGCTCACTAAAGTTTCTTTATTTAAATAAATTTTGTTTTTCTTTGGTTGTTTTTTTGTTTTGTTATATTAGATGGAGTTATATGGAATATATATATATATATATATATATATATATATATATATATATATATATATATATATATATATATATATATATATATATATATATATATATATATTAGATGGAGTTATATGGAATATATATATATATATATATATATATATATATATATATATATATATATATATATATATATATATATATATATATATATATATATATATATATATATATATATATATATATATATATATATATATATATATATATATATATTCATATGAGTTAAATATGGAGATATTTGTTAAAAAATTTATAATGATTAAATTAAATATCATTATTTTTTAATTATTATAAAGATATTGAATTTTGATGCAAAATGATTTATTTCCAAATTGCCCCAGTGTTGGGGTTATATGGAAAGGGGTTAAAAAACGACTTCACTCATTAATTATAAAGTATAATTTGTCAAATCTTGAATAAAAGTATAGCCTGAACAATGTGCTATCCAAAATAAATGCCTTTTGCGATAGTAATTAACTATAAAATAAAATAAGAAATAAAAATAAAAATCTAAATTTTTGTTTTTATTTCTTTCCAAATAACCCTGATTTATGGTACCAGTAGTTAATGATACAATTGATATGTATTTATAATATTGTAATTGATTTGATATTCATTAAAAAATATAAAAAACGTATAAAATTTTTTGCAACTTTTTATTAAAATCTGCTTTAAAAAATTTTGTTTACAGTACAAAATTATGACTTTTAGGAATTTTTTTTTTCTTTTTTTTTTCTATTCGTTATTTAGGTGCTTCAAGAAGTTGTAACGGTCTTATCACAGATCAACACAGAATAGCATTTTAACCAGGATGTCACGCCTTTATCTGATTTTACCAAACCAGGAAATCACACCTGTATGATTTTACCGAAGTTTGGTAATACCAAACTTTGGTAAAATCATACAGGTTTGGATAGTTTACAGGTTTTCAGTTTTTGTATTGAAAATTAGAAACTTGCGTGAATAATAGTAAATAAGTATTTCAATATATGCATAATACGTAATTTTTCATTACCTTTTTATTGTTATTTTTTTTTTTAGTATTTTTTTAATTGTTTTTTAACCATCTTTAGTTGTATTTTTTTGAAACTGTTTTCTAGTAGTCCATACATCCTACTGATTCTCTGTTGCTTGGTACTAATCATGTATGACAATTTGAATGCAATATGAATAAGTAACTTCTTTTACTTAAGTGTAATCTAGTGTCTATCAAGAAATTCTACACTAAATAAACGACATAACGAAAACAACAACTACAACTACTACTGCAAAAAAATAATAATAATTTACCATAAATATTAGGCAGAATAAGACCACCTAGAAATGTTACTTACTCCAAAATTTAGGTTTTTAATTTTATTTTAAATATAGGTAGTAAATGTAATATAGGCAAATTAATAAAATGATCTTATATGCAAGTTTTTTTTTTTTTTTTTAAGTAGTTCAACTTTAATTTCACTTGAAATTTTTTCATTTCAAAAATAGTTTTTTCATTTTTGATTTATTTTTTATCATGTTTTTTAGAACTTTGTTGTTGTCAACAAAAAACTTGGAAAACAAATGGTCTTTCGATTTAGCAAAGACAAATCATTATTTTTATTTGGAGCTGAAAGTCTTATACGTAAAGTGGCTATTCATATTTTTACTCATGAGTATCTTTTCAAGTTTATTAATTTGAAAATTATTAAAAAATGAAAAAAAAATAGTTTAAACAAAAATGTTTATAAAATAATGGGCTATTACATTACTGGTTGCCGAATTACAATGAGGTTGGTTGTTCAGAAAAAGATATAGAACATTTAATAAATTGTTTAAATTTTTTTGATTTAACTTTTTTGATTTAATGTGTTTTTTTTAAAAGCTAATAATCACAGTTTAAGATAAAGCAATGTTCTTTATCTTAAATTGTGATTATTAGCTTTTAAAAAAACACCAACATTTCACCTCTTTTTTATAAATTTATACATACATACATACATACATACATACATACATACATACATACATACATACATACATACATACATACATACATAAAAACATATATACATACATATATACATACTTACATTCCTAAATACATACATACATACATTCATATGTTCTTAATACACTTTGTTTTTTTCTTCATTTTGGAAAAAAAAACAGTATGACTTTAGGTTGACAAAAAAAAAATCTTAGTGTATATCTTATATGTACTATAGTATTAATAAGTATGTATGCTGGTTTTCACTGTCTTAATATATTTTGCAGACTTTATATAAGTTTTATAATGTCGACTTGGATCAACAGTTTTTTCAAAGAAAGACGAAAAAAAAAAAAAAAAGTTCTTTTATCTATATAGTACCTGCTCATAGTGCTAAAATATTTTTAGATGAAATGTGATATATATATATAAACTAAATTTTTTTTTTTAAATTGATAGATTGCTTGCCCAAACCAGCCCCCTCAGTCAATGTAGCAGCATTCCTCAAATGTTTTATTTATTTGTCAGTTGATGCAGCAGCACTCCTTGCATGTTTTTTCCATTTTTCAAACATGTTGCAGCACTTCTTGCATTTTCTACCTTTTTGTTAGTTGATGTATGTAAACAGTAAAAAAATAAAAATTAAAACATCAGAATGTTTTGAATTGTATTTAAAAAGTAAGAAACATTCAATAGCTTGAATTTTGGTAGTTGAATTTTGGTAGTTGAATTTTGGTAGTTAAATTTTGGTAGTTATTTTAAAAATTATAAAATTTAATTAATTTCCTCAATTAAATTTAATGATTTGTACAAAAAGTTAATTTTGTCACTTTCAAAGATAAAGAGTCATTAAGAGCATATATAGACATATTTTTGATGCAAAACAATTTATATAAAGATATTCAATATCTTTAAATAAATTGTTTTGCATCAAAATTTGATATCTTTATGTAAATTAAAAAAGAATGATATTTAATTTTATCATTATAAATTTTTTAACAACAAATATTTCCATATTTAACTCATATGACTATATATATATATATATATATATATATATATATATATATATATATATATATATATATATATATATATATATATATATATATATATATATATATATATATATATATATATATATATATATATATATATGTTTATATATATATATATGTATATACACATATTTGTATATATATATATATATTTATATATATATATATATATATATTTATATATATATATATATATATATATATATATATATATATATATATATATATATATATATATATATATATATATATATACATATATATATATATATATATATATATATATATATATATATATATATATATATATATATATATATATATATATATATATATATGTGTGTGTATATATATATATATATATATATATATATATATATATATATATATATATATATATATATATGTATATATATATTTATATATATATATATGTATATATGTATATATATATATATATATATATATATATATATATATATATATATATATATGTATAAAAATTTAGATATTTTCATTAACATTAGTTTTTGATAGGTATTTTGACAATTTCATATTAGTTACAATTTTAGTAAATTGTATTTTTATGGCATTGAATGATCCTCCAAAAATTGCTGAGTAAGTTTCTTTGATATTCAAATATCAGCTTTTAATTTTTTTGCTTAGTGTAAAAAATAGTTTCATATTACTGAGATCTGAGGATAGTCACTAGATAAGGTAAAACTTAATTTGATGACACAATCATAATTATGTGAAAAAGATAAGTATTTTTTAACTAGAGATAATATGAGACCTAAATATGAAAAAAAAATCATATTAAAATTATTTAACTTGGGAAGAAATTGTTACCTAAAAGAGTTACAAATTATACGATTTAAAAAAATACAATGTGAATATGAGATGTATTATATATAAGTAAAGCCAGCACGGTGGGTGTGTGGGGGGGGGGTGTGTGTGACACTATATGAGACTTTGTTGACACAATGAAGTTGAATTATTTATTCATAAAATTTTGATTATTATTTATTTTAATATTTTATACATTTTTTATTGGACGGTTAGATAAAAACTGAGTATATTTGCAATTACTTCACATCAATCTTGGTTTGATTTAAAAGAGTATTATAAGTAATCTCAGTATTATAGAAATCAATAACTTAATCATTAATGCTGCTTTAACTAGGAAGTCTCCTCACAAAGCCTGCACTACTTTTTTCGAAGATGTTATGTGCACAACAATATTAGAAGCATACACTGTCTCAAGAATATTAAATGTTGCCTAGACGTTTTCATGACAGAACTAATACTTTCTAAGAAACTCATTAGAGTATGAGCATTCTAGCTCTAATGAACTCTAAGTGATCCACTACCTCTAAAGACTTCATTTTAATTATTTTCCTTTTGCCAGAGTGGTGAGTTAAGTCATATGCAAGGAGTTGTATGTATGTTTATGTTGTATGCTTGTCCTGCTTGATTTATTATAAACATCAAAGTTGAACACGTATGTGTTGTCTGGTTTAGTTTAATTATAAAAAACATTTTATATTTCCTTAGGTATTTTTATTTAATATTTCTTGCATATAACTAGACTAACTAAGACCATATAGTTTGAAAAATATTATTGAATGCCACAGTAAGTTTAATAACATCATTCAAGAAAGTATGTACCAAATTCATTTTAACCAACATCTTGTATAAAAGTGATAAAATCCTGAACATCTGGTCCTTACAAATGATACAACTTGCATATTTATTTTCAGCCATGTATGTTACATTTATTATCTGCTGTCTTTTAATCTACAAATGATCCACATGTTATGTTAGTTGTTTTAAAGTAGAAGTAGAATCTACACTACACCCTATACACCCATAATGTTAGTGTTTCAGGTGCTGATTTGGCTAATGTGTCAATAGTATTATTATTTTGCACCACAGATTACTTTGTTACTTCATAATAATCGATGCTAAAACCCAACTAATTTAGTTCAGTAATAAGTCGCTTACATCCAAAATGCAATTCATTTTTATTCTTAAGCTAAATAGAATCAGTAGCAACAATACCTGTGGAAATGATGTATGTACTCTGACCAATACTGCTTTTTCTTTCTGGAGATTTAATGATGGTGGTAAATTGTGGCTTTAATGATTCTGGGGACCTCTTGTTCATATTATCTAAATCTGTAATATATTTATTATTGCTCATTAATGAGGTACTGTCATACCGTCATACTTGAGCTCCCCGGGTTTACTTGAACCCAAAAAAAGTTTTTTCCTTTATTTTTTATAAAATTATTTGATGAGAAAGTTAATAAGTTAATTATACACTTAATTTTTTTGCAAGAAGTGATAAAAGCTTTTTTTTTAATTTTTTTTTAAGAATCTACAATAATGTAAATATTTTATTTAAAACTTTTGTCTGTTCAGACATAACTAAAAAAGATAAAAACATTTTTTTAAAGTATCAGTTGCTGCAAAATGTAGCAATTATAATTGTCTTTTAATTTTATTATTTAAAAAAAAATATTTTGTATCTATGTTTGAAGTGCAAAATTGGAGCTACATGAACTTAAATGTCATTGTAGCAGTTCATGTTTGAAAATGATTATATTTGTTTTCCATTAACATTAAACCCCAAATGTAATAATATATTTAAAAGGATATATAGTTGATATATCTGTTGTATTATCCACTTTTTTAATATCTGTTAGGTTATAAATTTTATACCTAAATAATGATTGGTTAAAGCTATTGTTATACACCTTTTTACTTATACTATGTATTATCATAACTGGTTCTACTAAAATGGTTTCAAATATAAAAGAAAATGTGGATCTAGAGCTTACAAAGCCATATTGAATTCAACGATTTGTTTAAACAGAATTTAGAATTAGCCATTCCACCATAAGGAGAGCTCTTCAAAGACGACACATTACTATCACACAGAAACTTGCAGGGCATCCTTGCATCCAAGAAACTTCATCCAGTTGTTTCATCCAGGGCATCCAGTTGTTTTCATGTCTGATGAAGAGCAGTCATCCTATGATCATTTGAATAATGTTTTATCTTTTAGCTACCCACTGACCCCATTTGATCTTGTTATTGCGATATCCTATCTCGGTTGATTGAGGCGTGATGTTCAATGATTTAATGAAAATCTCCCAGGTATTGAATGGGTAAAATCTTTTATTAGATGAAGTCATCAATTATCCAAGAGATTTGCTGGAAACCTCAAAAAGATTAGAGCGGGTAAAACACAACAAACAATCACTGAATATTTTGATAATCTAGGTAATGAAGCAGTAAATGTACTAACAGAAAACATTTAGAATTTTGATGAAACCAATTTAACAAATGACCCTGGGGAAAAATAAAGTATCCTGAAAAAAAGAGTAAAATACCCCAAAATAATTATCAATAGGTACAATTCAGCACTTTCACTGTGGTAATGCAGTTAGAGAATTGTTGGCTCCTTATATGTACTACAAGGCCAAGTCACTTTGGACCACATGGACAGAAGGTGGCCCACCTGACTCAAGGTTTAATTGTTCTAAAAGTGGGTGGTTCGAAAGTAACTCATTTGAACATTGGTTTATCATAAACGATAATCTTAGTAGTCACATTAATGTCAATAATTTAAAACTTTATTAAAACTCAGGTTACCTCTGAGTTCATCACATCTTATCCAACCACTGGATGTGGTCTTTTTCAGGCTAATGAAGATGTTGTGGAAAAAAATATTATCAGAATGTAAAGGGGTACTGGAAACTGTGCAACCACATTTAATGAAGACAATTTTCCCTATTTAGTGTATTAAGTCATTTTTTGACAAAATCAAGAAGTGCTGATATTCCAACTATGAAGCGTGTAAGAAGAAAGTTGAATGTTCCAGCAGGAAAAAGTATAGTGTTAGAAGATATCATTCAAATAGAAACATCAAGAATAACTAAAGGAACTACCATTGCTACTTGAAGAGGAAGAAATAAAAAAATTGCTGAAAATTCAACTACAGTGCAAAATGATGACAGTTCAGATAGTGAAAATGAACCCAATTTGGTTGCAGACGATGCTATTAAAAGTAGTGGTTGTAATGAAAATGTGCTAATGACAACCTAAGCGAAAGTTCAGAGCTGGACAACGCAGGAAAGGTAAAACTCAATGTTGATGAGTATGTACTATAGTATAGTAGTTATAGTAGAATATGATAAAAAGTTATATCCTGGGCGCATTGTAAGTGTTAGTATGGAAAAACCTTTTGATATAGCTTCTATGATGGAGCCATCAAAAAATCATTGGAAATTGCCAAAATGATGAAATAAAACAGAATATCAATGTTCCGCTACCATTTAATAATAGAGGTCTTTAACAACAGAGATGAACATTTAGTGTACTAGTACTCCTAGTATTAAGTATACTGCAACAACAGTATACCAGATCTTATTGTACTTTAACATTATTTGCAGTATTAATTCATTTAAATTGTTTTGTTAACAACAAAGATATTTTTAGGTATTTTTAAAATTGTTTTTTGTTTGTGTAGTGTTATTGTGACATTCAATAAAAACTGCAGAAACATACTTTTTTTATGGATTCAAGTAGCCCCACAACAAGGGTTACTTGGACCCAACCATAACCCTCCAAAATAAGGCGACCAAAGTTTCCCCAAATATTTTTCTCTACCATCATCATTACTAATACGTAAGTCTATGAATAGGCAACAAAAAGTTTTCTTTACATTAAAATAGATATGAAAGAAAACTGCAAACATGTCCCAAATTTGGGTCCAAGTAGCCAGGGATGATGGGAGCTATCAAAATTATCTATCTTTAGGGCAAAAAGCTTAATATTTTAGACCAAGTCAAGATTCAAAATCAAGACTAGCTTCCTTAAGATGTAATATTAATTTTTATCTTGTTTAATAATTTAATCTAGTTTAAAAAAACCACAAGCATAAAAAAAAAATTCAGAAAAATTATATTTGCTAAAAATTTACTGTTTAAGAGGAATAAATGTAAAAAAGGTTGCCCAGTTTTTATTATAAACAAAGTATTTGATTCAAAAATACCAGACATGTCCTGGTAACAATTAGCTTTAGGTAACATTTATGTAGTACACAACTAAAATAGAAAAAAATATTGCAAAACTTGCTATTTTGAAAGTTAAAACTTTTTAGTAATATTTAGTTATGTATTTGCTGTTATTTACACTTCTGAAATGATCATAAAGATTTTGGCAAAAGGGTTTATATTACATAAGTATTCATATCTGCGGAGTTTTTGGAACTGGCTGGATTTTACAGTTGTGCTATTAGGGTAAGGTTTTCAGAAAAATTTTATATAAAGTTATATATTAAAAATAAAATTATACATTAGAAAGTTAATATGGGATTCCATTAATTTGACTTTCATTTGAGACGTTTCAAATTAAAGAGTTTGAGACTATTTCCAATAAAATTATCTTATCAATAAAATTATACAGGCGTATATGTTTTTTTTTCTATTTTGTTTCAGATATGTGACAATGAGTCCAAACATTGGGCGACTTGATAGTATTAAAACATTTAGAATTTTGAGGATACTTAGGACTTTATCATCCATTAAAGGTTTATTTTTACTCTATTATTTTATTAACCATAGTAACCACAGTTACTCTATCTATGTAGTAGATAAACTGTTTATTTTCTAGGTTTAAAAACAATGGTAGAGACTTTGACAAAGTCAATGGTACTAGTGAAAGATGTTTTGATATTGGTTTTTTTTTATATTGCACTGTTTGCACTTATTGGTTTGCAGCTATTTCGAGGAAACTTTCGCTCACGATGTATTAAAAACCCAAATGATACATCAATTATATCAACCAATAAGTGGAAAAAAATACCTGGTAACATGATGAGTCACATTTGTGGGAATGTTTCAACATCATGGTATGTATCAAATATATATATATATATATATATATTATGATGGTGATGTTGATGATAATAATGATGATGATGATGATGATGATCTTTTAAAAATTAAAATTAAAATTTAGGTATTGTGAAGAAGGTTGGACATGTGTACCTAATGCCGCTGAAAATCCTTATAGATATATCAACTATGACAACTTTTTATATGCTATGTTAACATCTTTACAATTATTCAGTTTAGATAACTTAGATATTGTGTTAAATAGTGTAAGTCATTATAAATTTTTTTATTTGCATATGTAATTATTCTACTGAATGTTTTAATTTGCAATTTTATTTATATTTAGTAGGTTTACATCTAGTAGGTTTAAACAAAAAACATTTTAAAGTCATGATTTTTTTGTATAATTTTTGTTTCATTTTTATTTTTAAAAATAATTTTATTTAATTTTAATTTTACAATAGGTAATTGAGTCAAGGGGACAATTTTACATGTTTTATTTTATGGTATGTATCTTTCTGGGTCCATTTTATTTGCTTAATCTTGTATTAGCAGTTGTGACTTCAGCATATGAGAGTGAGCTGAATCCGGATAAGGTTTGTTGAATAAATTAAGTTTAAAAAATTGTTAAAATCAAATTAATAGTTTTTTATTTGTATTTTTAAGTATTTTTTAGTATATTAATTTTGAGTAGGTTGTTTACCAATAAAATATACCCCACAAAAATTATTGTAGCAGATTTGCAGTGGACCTATATAGGCATTTTGAGCAGCTTATTTAAGTTTTGCTCATCAGTCATTTATTGGACCATTAGTAGCATTCGCTATAAGTAACTAGCCAATAACTTTTCAACATGTGATATAGCCACTAGTCATTGGCGAGCCACATTTGGTGGCTGCCTCTTATGATCCACTAAGTAACCAATGGGCAAACCTACAGTTGACAGTAATTTTATTAATCTTTTCAAGTTATACTTTTATTGTTTTAAATTTTTTTATCCTAATAAATATTTTTACTCTTGTTTTTGTTACAGAAACCTTCTTTTAAACTTTTATTTTTAAGATTAAAATTGAATTTTATTGTGACTAAAGTCATGGCAACTAAATGCTTATTCAATTAAAAGTTTGTTTAGATATAAAAATTTAACAAAAGTTTAATTATCCAGCCATGGCGTAGTGGTTAGAGTTCTGGCTTCAGAACTAGGGGTTTGTGGTTCAAAGCTGGGTCTGGTCATAAATGCATCATTTGTTAGGAAGCTCATTTTTCCTAATTCCCAAGGGCTATATATATATATATATATATATATATATATATATATATATATATATATATATATATATATATATATATATATATATATATATATATATATATATATATATATATATATATATATATATATATATATATATATATATATATATATATATATATATATATATATATATATATATATATATATATATATATATATATATATATATATATATATATATATATATATTTATTATTAGGGTGGCCCTTAAAACAACTTTTTTGAAAAAAACCTGCTCCTTAAAATATTTTTTATTCAAAAAAATTTTAAACCTAGTGTTTTTGTATTTATTTTACATTTAGGGGGTGGGAGCAGGTTTTTCTCAAAAAGGTTGTTTTAAGGGCCACCCTAATATATATATATATATATATATATATATATATATATATATATATATATATATATATATATATATATATATATATATATACACCCTAATATATATATATATATATATATATATATATATATATATATATATATATATATGTATTATATTAATATATTGTATATATATATATATATATTGTTTAAATTAGGTTTTTACTAAAAAATGCGGTATTTAGTTATCCTTTTAAATTAAAAAAAGCATAACGTATTTTATTTGAGTAAACTATATTCTTTATCAATAATATTGTTATATTTCATCAAAATTATTTAGTATATCATTGTTTAATGTTCTATATATAAATACAAGCTGCTTTTTCTACCCTAATCCATTTTTTAACTTAAAATGAATAAGACCAAAAGTTGAAAAATTCTTTTGATTCCAGTACTAGTTATAGTAGATTTGGTTTTTAATTTGAATAATATTGGTAACAAATTCTTGAACTCTTTATCTGCGAAATTCATGGCAGCTTCATTTTCAGAAAGATTAGATCCAAAATATCTAGGATCTAGTGTGTTTGCCGGAAAATGAGCATCACTGACAGTCTGAAGGTATCCAGATTCAATTTTTTTTTTGTTTCGTTTGATAAAAACAATAAACTGTTCATCAAATCTTTAAAAATTTCAAGAATCACTTATTTTTGTTTAATATCTTTGCAACTTATCTAGAGCTACTGCAATTGGTTTCAATATTTTCAATAAATCTTCTGTGTTTCGTTTTATCTGTATATCACTTACTTTTTTACCAATCACGGGATTTAAGTCTTTATTTTTTTCAAACATTGTAAAAATAATGCTCCAATTGTTGACATATTTTTCATATGAATCACAGAATTCCAGCGAGTTTCAGTAGGAAGGGGCAATTTTGTTCATCCGCTTAATTTTTAAATTGCTCCAGCTTGATGATTATTTCTTATATATTTTATTATTTGTGTAACATGCTTGCTCACATTTTCAATGTTAAGATCATTTGCTAAAAGAATCAGCATATGAGCAGCACACCCATAAGTTATGATAATATCTCTTTCAGATGACAATACTTGTCTTATTGATTTCACATTAGCTGCATTGTCAGTCACAAAGCTTTTTACTGTGCATCCAAATTTACGTCTAACAAAATCTATTGCTTCTCTTGCTAATTGTATAAGATATTCACCAGTATGTGAATGACCAGAAGTGTTGATTGTTTCTACTAAAATGTTAATTTTATCTATAATTACAGAGATACAAACTATAGGTTCATTGTGTATATTACTCCAGCCATCTAAAGACATGGCTACAATTTTCCCATTCAATACATTACATTTTTCAATTTCTTCTGTGTAAACCTTATCTAATATTTCTCCTCCAATTTCAGTTTTATTAGGTAAAGTGTATCGTGAATGAAGCCTGTAACCCTGTCTTAGTTTCCTGTTTTAAGTTCAAATCTTTTAAAAAAAACATTAGTTTGGCTTAAACCAACATTTTTAAAATTGGTTTAAACCATGGTTTAAACCAATGGTTTAAACAATTTGGATAAAACCATGCAACCCTGGCTGATACAGCAGTATTCCTTTGTGGCCACAGGCTATAAGATAAAAAATGTATGTCCTGAAGCCCCTGGCAGCAAGCTATTTCAGTATGATGTCATACTGATTATCTAAACATGCATTTATAGTTGTGTGTATATATATATATATATATATATATATATATATATATATATATACAACTATAAATGCATGCCAAATAGTCACGAGGACCATTTGGTATTTTTTTTAGTCATTTTTATGCTGTAGCACATAAAAAAAGGTCGCCAAAATAATGCAGCCCCGGCCCTGAAAAGTTCAACAAAATTCAACCAATAAAACTAATGCTAGATGATTTATTTATAAATAAAAAAGTTTTTTCAATAACTGTTTTATGCTTCGCGTAGTTTAAAAGTTAAACACATTTGAAACAATTCTTCTTAGTAAGATGAACAAATGAAACAATTAAATCATTGAGTTACTGTAGAAATTCAATTAGCTAGATAAAAATTAACTAAAAACGTTAAATTACTTTGTTAGGAGGAAGCAGAACTGCTTCATGATGATGTTTAGTGAGTGGGCTTTATAATTTTAACTAATATTTAAAACAGAAAAAAGTCACTTTAAGTTTAAGTATAACGAGTTTGTAAGAATGGCTGAAGCAAAAATAGTTGAAGATAGTAAACCAATTTCTAAGAACTTAAAAAATTTTCTTTCTTGGGGGAAAGAATCAGTTATTGGGTACACTGAGGAAAATGGATTAGTGGTTAAAATTATTTGTATTAACTTTGATGAATATTAAAAATTTCATTGAAAACGCAGTTATTATTTTTGTTTACAAAATCAATCGCACTAATTTCTTTAAAAGATTACATTTAAATAAAATACACATACATAAAATTACATACATAAAGTATACATACATAAAAATACATTACATACATGAAAATACATTACATACATAAAAAAATACATCCCTTATATATAAAAAATAAGAATAAACTAATAAAATCCATAATATATTTACAAGACGTTTATAAGTTAAAAAATTTAAATTTAAAACATTTATTTTTGTAAATAAATAATGTTAGTTAAAAACATTTATAGCTTTGTAGATGTGGCTCCGAGAATTAAAGTAATAGTTCATTTGGTGGTATATTCTTAAGAGAATTTATGCTAAAAATCTCAACGCAAACATAACAAAACTCAATTAATACAATATTTAAAAACATTTCAACAAAATACTCTAGAACATTCGGTTAGTATTTTTTGAATACTCTAGAAATTTTGGTTAGTATTTTTTGAACCAATAAAATTAGTTCTTCGTAGATTTGGCGGGTTTTTTGAGTTTGTGAATATTCTTTTTTGATTTTTCCGCACAAATATGTTTGAGAACATTTGAGTTTATGTATGTCCGTAAAACAAAATATTTTAAAATTTACATTAAAATAATAAACTTTTTTATTATTATTTTGTGGAACAAAAAAAAAACTTAAATGTTCTCAAAACGACTAAAAAATCTGGCCAGTTTTTCTCAACTAAATATTATTCTCGTGGTCAGTTATTGAGTGCAATCGCACCCGCTTTCAGGCCAAGCCTGATGTATGTATATATTTTTTAAAAGTTTATACGCAGCTGTATTTATTTTACCTACATTTTATTGTATAATAAGAAAATGACTTTCAAAGAATATATATATATATATATATATATATATATATATATATATATATATATATATATATATATATATATATATATATATATATATATATATATATATATATATATATATATATATATATATATATATAACACCTCATAAATAAAATTTTGGACAAAATTAAAAAAATTAATATTTTAAGAACTAATAAGTTTTATTATTTAATATTTCAACTGTTAATATGTTAGTATATGTAGGTTATAAATATATTAAAATAATTATTTCAAATACCATATTTAGCAATATTATAAAGTTTTTTTGAAAGATGTTTTATTTGAGTAAGGAAAATTTCTTTATTCATATTTGAATAGCAATATCTAATTCTTGCTTCAGGCTCTTCCCAATTCTCAGCTCTCTAATTATTCTTGTACACTAGTCGTTTTTAATCACCCCAAAAAATTTTAATTGGTCTTGCTTCTGGAACGTTAGCTGGGTTTGTATCTTTGGGTACAACTTTTATTTTTTTCAATTTTAAAAAGTCGATGACCGACTTTGCGTAATGTGATCGAGCTAGATCAGGCCAGAAGATAAACTCATTGTCTTTTTTATAATATTCTGATACTAGAGGAAGTTAAGTTTTTTCTAGTATCTCTTTATAAGTGAACTGGTTGATTGCCTGTTTACTGTGATGAATATAAAGTATGCTTATTCAACGGGGGCTGATGCAACAAGAAACTAAGAGCTTGTCCTCGTACTTTTTACACAATTTGTATCTTACTTCATCTGAACCTTGAGAAGGACCAGTGGCATAAAACCTATCATTACCAGCTAATGTGCTATTGTTTAAGGTAAAATAGCTTTCATCATCCATAACAAAATCCAAGTTTTTATAATTTTCAGACAATTTACAACATTTAGGACACATAGCTTTCTTCTGCTGATGGCTACGATCTGGACGATTTGTTTTTTCGAAAGTTTGAATGTTAGTCATTGTTTTTAATACTTGGAAAATTCAAGTTTGACTTCAGTTAAAAACTTGAGCTACTTTCTTTCGGGAGCACCTTGACCTATTTTCAAAAAATGCAGCAATCTTTGGAATATTTTTTTTAGTAGCTACCTTAGCAATTCAACCATTTCCAACTTTTCTTTTTAGAGATCCATTCTCCAATTTTACAATTTTATTGTAAGCAGTTGATCTGGGTAAACCCCATTCCATAAACTGCTAAGCAACAAATGCTTTACCTTTTTCTCGATTTTTTTGGAAAAAAATTTCCATCATTTTTTTGAGGTCCTTTACTCTGACCATTTTATTTTTAATATTTAAATAATATTTTTAACTTAATTAAATTAAATTGAAAGAGATTATAAAATCCTCTTTCAAATAAGTATAAAGGTTTTTTGCGTGCATGAAATAAAAAAAATACATAATTATATAAGTAAAAAAAACAACAGTTTATTAATTTGATGAGTTTTGTTTTATATATATATATATATATATATATATATATATATATATATATATATATATATATATATATATATATATATATATATATATATAAACAATTTTAAAATGTATTTTACGAAATAGAGTGCTCAATGTTCTTAAAAGAACAGAGCAGTTATAAATTAGTAGAAAATCACTTTTGCTAAGTTTTGTACTAATTTATATATATATATATATATATATATATATATATATATATATATATATATATATATATAATATATATATATATATATATATATATATATATATATATATATATAAACAATTTTAAAATGTATTTTACGAAATAGAGTGCTCAATGTTCTTAAAAGAACAGAGCAGTTATAAATTAGTAGAAAATCACTTTTGCTATGTTTTGTACTAATTTATATATATATATATATATATATATATATATATATATATATATATATATATATATATATATATATATACATATATATATATATGTATATGTATATATATATATATATATATATATATATATATATATATATATATATATATATATATATATATATATATATATATATATATATATATATATATATATATATATATATATATATATAGTATTACATATAACACTTAGTAATTATAAGTTATTAAATGAACAATTCTGATTTATGTAAATGTTAACCATGTAGTTAAAGTTTATTTTTATTTCTTTCTGAAAATAATTTAGTTAATGTTGCATTAGTTTAGTAGTGCATTTTTTTATAGCTGGTTTTTTTAAAACACTTTTGATGAATTTGTTCGTTTGGGTCTAACCAAATCTGACATACAAGAAATTTCTTAATGATTTAATTTAAAAAAGATTTTACATAAATAAAAAATGTATAAAAAACATTAAATGTTTAATAATTAGCTTTTGATGCTTTTTCTGAAAATTAAATTTTTATTTCTAGGATGCTGAGTTAGAAAAACTGACAACTAAGAGACGGTCAAATTCAGTTTACTCTTTTCAAGGCGATTGCTTTGTTGAATTTCTTTCTGGCCCTTCACCCCTAGAAGAAGTAGATGGAGAACTTCAATACACTGTTGAAAATCCTCCACCGATTAAAAGAAAAAAGAAAAAAAAGAGCATTGTTCATCCACCAGAGTTAAATGACAATATTACATTTTATAAAAAAATGCAATATGTGTTATACAAAATTGTTTCAAACAGTTTTTATGAATGGTTTATTTTTGCATGTATTATTCTGAGTACAGTATTCATGTCTGCTGAACACATTGGAATGGATGCTACATTAGCATCAATTACATCTACATCTGACTTTGTAAGGATATATTAAATAGATATATATATAGGTTTGGGTTAAAGCAGCCACCATTTTTTTCATTATTTTTCTTTTTTTTTCTCCAAAAAAACAGTTTATTTTTAAATCAGTACTTTAGCTTAACAAATGCTGATATAAATATGCAAAAGTAAGAATATGTTAGGGTCCTGGAAATCAATATGACTTGATTTGCGAATCAAGTGTCGCTTCGATTCAAGATTCGTTTTGAAAAAAATGACTTGAGTTTTTCGAATCACTATTTATTTTGTGAAAGTTATTGTTTTTTCAGATATCCAACGCTATCAAAGTGTTTTTATTTCTCTCAGCCTGATTAAAGCAGTTGTAATCAAAAGTTATTGTAATACTGCTTTCAAACAACCGCAAAAAATTAATCTAGGAAAAAATGTTTAAAGTATAATTTTTTAAAAAAAAAAAAGATGTTTAAATTTGGATTTCTGTGTATTGCTGATTCAAATCGTGATTTGATTCGATTCATAAATCAAGACTTAATTTGAGATTCGATTAGAAACTCAAAACTAATGTCGATTCTCAGGGACCCTAGAGTATACATATTCTTACTTTTAAAAACTAAAGCAAACTTTAAAGAATTTAAAAGGTTTTATTTAACCTAGAAATAAGAAAAAACAAAACTTTTTTAAAAAATTTATGTATATGTGTATATATATATATATATATATATATATATATATATATATATATATATATATATATATTATATGCATATATACATACATACATACATACATACATACATACATACATACATACATACATACATACATACATACAGACATACATCTACAAACTGATTTTTTTAAATAAGTATTAACTATTTACTTGTGCAAGTAATTTTTACAAGTAGATGTGGAAGTAATTTGTACATATTACCAATTCTTTTGTATAAGTTATTTGTACTTTTGATCAGTCAAGATTTTAAAATATCTGAATAAAAATCTGAATAAAGGTAACTATGATAGTTTGGCAAAGTTTGTTATTGTCAATTTATATTTGTGAAGTATTTAAATTAATTTAATATTTATTGTTTTGAGGTTTTCACTGGGATATTTATCATTGAAATGACAATGAAGTTGTTTGCATTATCACTACGAGGGTATTTGTCAAGCAAGTGGAATCTTCTTGATGGCTTACTTGTAGTTATTAGCGTTGTTAATATTTTGTTGGTTTTTTTTACAAACATTCCAAAGGGAACACTTAAAATGCTGAAAGTGTTTCGGTTGGTACGTATTTTAATTATTGTTGATTGGTTTGTTTTTATATGTATTTTTTAAGTATGTTATAAGTTTTGTTACATTAAATTAAAAAATTTTGAATTTATTTCAAATTATTTCTAATAAAAAATAAGTTTAAACATAAATTGTGCTTATAATTTTATTTTTTTAAATTTTATCATTTTTAATAATTTGATTGACAGTTTTCAAATTTAATTTGTTTTTTTACTTATAATCTTTTTTTTTTTTAATGTTAGTGTGTTAGTACATGGTAGATAGTAGTGTTTTAGTACATGGTAGATAGTAGTGTGTTAGTACATGGTAGATTGTAGTATGTTAGTACATAGTAAATAGTAGTGTGTTAGTACATGGTCGATAGTAGTTTGTTAGTACATGGTAGATAGTAGTGTGTTAGTACATAGTTGATAGTAGTGTGTTAGTACATGGGGCATGACAAGGATTGAACTCCTTCATAATATTAGTAATAAGTTTATTTTAAAAATAAGATATAATAGTTTTGTGAAAAAATTTATTTTACAAATTTACTGGAAAGTTAAAAAAATATATATTAGTAGGCCATAAATGTCTTATAACAGCTAAATGGCCAAATTGGTGCTCTTTTATAGGAGGTTCTCTTTTTGGAGGTTGATAATGTTGTATTGGTTTATATGTAACAGTTATAATAAATATATAAAAAGTATATAAAAAATATGCAAATATGAAAATTTAAAATATATTTGAATATCTTTTAAAATTATATTTATTTATTTGTACTTGAAAAAAAAATTAACAAAATACAAAATGGTGAGACTGCACAATGACATTTTAAATCATACTTTTTTAAGTTCGATTTGAAAACAGACAGTGAGGGCGAGTTCATTATATGATCTAGATGTGAGTTCCACATTTTAATGATTCTTTCTCTGTAAAAATACTTTCTAGTATCATTAATGTATTTATTAGCTGGAGTAAACTTTTGTGAATGACTTCTAGTCGTTCACAATATTTTGAGTTGAAAAAAGTTAAAAAAATTGAATATATATATTAGTAGTTTTATAAGAAATATTTGGCAACTTGGTTTCCAATATCATAACTTTTGAACTTTTTTGAGAAAAAAATTAAAAAAAAATATCTTATACTAGTTTTACAAAAAATTTCTTATACTAGTTTTGATCTTGTTTATTGGATCCAAAGTCCATAAACTTTGGGTATTTTTTTAATTTTTCAAAACAGTTCAAATTTTTGTTTGTAAAAATTTTTAGTTACGAATTCTCAAAGTGACTCAATCATGGAAGGGAATGGGTCAGTTGCTGGCAACAATTTCCAACAGTTTAAGTGCACTAGTTTATGCAGCAATCATACTTGGTTTAGTGATATATATTTTTTCTGTTATTGGAATGCAACTTTTTCGAAAGTATTACACTGTTCAAAACTTTTCAGCTGGTGAAATTCCTCGATTCAACTTTACTGATTTTGGAAATTCTTTAATGATGATTTTTCGTATTTTTTGTGGAAAGTGGATAGAACCTACATGGGATTTGATTTCACTTACTTCTCCGGCATCCATGTTGTTTATTTTTTTTGTATTTGTGACTGGAAGATGGATTGTATGTGATCTTTTTAACCTAAAAATATAACCTAAAATAAACAATATTACAATAGTAATAATAATAAATATAATCAAAGTATAATAGTAATAACAATAGTTTAAAAAATATAATATGTATTTAAAAATAGTTTATTGCAACAATAGGTTTTGAACCTGTTTTTGGCACTTTTGTTAAATGCATTTTCTGCTTATGCTATGAAAAAAACAGCAAGTGAGTCAAATGAAAATGAAAATAAACCCAAATCATTTAAAATTTCAAGATTTATTGAATGGGTAAAAGGCTACAGAGAAAAAAGTTTCAAATCTGATTTTGTAATAAAGAAAGCATCATCAGCACCACAAATAATGGTAAAAAGTGTTTTTAATTTCTATGAGGATTTGTTTGAATGATATTTCTTGGGACACACAAGGTTGGATCTGTAGGGGGAGGGGCTATGGAGGCAATCTCATGTTCCCACAATTGGGTGATCCAAAAACTAAAAATTATCCCCCTCCTTTACTAGATGGTCTGGATTCACCCGCAGGGACACATTTCTTTCAATATTTGCAAGAATCAACAGCTGTATATAATACCTGATTTATTTACTTTTTATAACTGTTTAACTTTTATAATTGTTTACCAACAATAATAATATTGTTGGGGTAAATGTAACATAAGTTTTTTTTATTAATCTAGCACATGGAAATGCAGCGTGGGGAAGTGCCAGTATTTGATGGATATGGTTAGTATTGTTGGCTTTAAGTTTTAGTTAAGAGTTTTCCTTCCAAGGAAGTGAAAATTTTTTAAATGATCCATATTTTTATGATGAAAAATAAATTGTTTCAATTATACTATTTATGTGACATAAAAAAAGTTACTTCCCTACACTTTTCTATCACCATTGGAAAATCATTAAAAAAATTTATTAAATTCTTATATATTTTATCAATTTCCGACCACCTGAAGCTTTTAATAATTATTTAATTTTAAAGAGTTCTTATTTTAAGGTTTATTTTTGGTTTTTGAAAACACAAGCATTTTTTTTTTATTTAGCATTATCTTTTCATTTTATCAAATTCAAAACAAATATACTTCAGTCGCCAAACGAACTGCAATCTCACTTTCTATAATTTATTAGAGTAATAGAATAAAATAGTGAAACATTAGTTAAACCATAGTCATTAGAAGTTATCCCGAGACATACTTCTAAGGATAACTTCTATTAACTAAGGAATAACTTCTATTGACTATGCTTCAATCAAAAAAAAAAATTTTTACACTTACTTTAATCACATGATTATAATATTTTTAAACAATAAGACCATTTTGTCAAAATATTTTATTTCTTGACCAGGGATAAGTTCTATTGACTATGATATGATCAACAATTTGTAAAAAAAGAAATTTTTTAAATGAAGAAAATTAAAAAAAAAAAAAAGATTGTTGAAATGATTATTTTTTGAACAATGGGAAGTGATGGGAAAGTGTAGGGAAGTAATGTCAAATTTTAATTATAGTAATACTATAAATTTAATGTCATGTAAAAATCTAAAGAAAGTAAATAATTTTTAAATACTTTCCACTTTCAGGATATTGGAAATAGATTGAATTCAATCCATTTCCATTTCCTGGAAGGTAGTCTTAGCTGGGCATCCTTCTCTTGGTAAATTTTTTACGGTACCCATTTTTTTATATTTTCTAATGATATTTCCTACACTATTAGGCTTAAAATTTACTATTTTAGAAATAGCTTTATATCTTTTTTCACTTTTATCCCAGGATCAATTGTTTTACTGATTCATGAATTTCATCTATTTTAACCATTATTTTTTTAAAATTAAGAACCTAAAAAGAAAACAAACTTCACTAAAAAATTAGTTAGAAAAACTTCTATCAATCAAATTTGTTTGTTTTTGGCTTTTTTTTTGCAATTTTACTAAGTTATAAAACAGTAAAGTTTATAAATGGTTAGAGGGTGATACACTATTTTGACTTTTTGTAATTTAGTGGATAATTTTTGTTTTAATTTTAAGAATATTAATTTTTTGTTATAAAAATATTTTTTGATAAAAAAAAATAAAAAAAATTGGGGTCAAAAATCTAAATTTGAGCATATAAAAATTTTTTTTATTGAAAAATCATCAGAAGGTGATTTTTTTGACATTCTGTAGCTTTATGCAAAGAAAACTCAAAATAAGACTTGCAATATGAAAGGCTTGCAATACGCTTAGTTGATAAGCATGTTGCAAGAAAAGTATTTCCTGAGATATGAGATGCCATAGTCTAATTGTCATCTTTTGTACTGTTCTCATTTTAAGACCCAAATAAAACATTTATTCAGTTCATCAGGTTGAATGAAATTGTGTTTAAACATTTTGATTGTAGGTGTAGGGATGTGTAATTGTTAGAAA